TTTTACTTCATCATTTCTTCCATTCACTTTAGCTACTCTATGTGCAAGAGCAAGTTTTAGAGTCTCTTCAAACATCCATTTTGGTCTTTTCTTTCTTTCCTGTCTTTTTAACGACTGTTTGCTTTCTTCATGTCTGATGTACTTTATGTCATTCCACAACTCTTCTGGTCTTTGGTCATTAGTGTTCAGTGCGTTAAATCTGTTCTTGAGATGGTCTCTAAATTCAGGTGGAGTATACTCAAGATTGTATTTTGGTTCTCATGGACTTGCTTTAATTTTCTTCAGCTTCAACTTGAATTTGCATGTGAGCAATTGATTGTTCCACAGTCAGCCGCTGGCCTTGTTCTGAGTGATAGTATTGAGTTTCTCCATTGACTCTTTCCACAGATGCAGTCAATTAGATTCCTGTGTTTTCCATCTGGTAAGGTCCTTATGTGTAATCGCCGTTTATGTTGTTGAAAAAAGGTGTCTTAATCATCTTGTGCTGCTATAACAGAAACACCGCAAGTGGATGGTTTTAACGAAGAGAAGTTTATTTCCTCACAGGTAAAGTAGGCTAAAAGTCCAAATTCAGGGCGTGAGCTCCAGGGGAAGGCTTTTTCTCTCTGTCGGCCTTCTTCTGTTCAGTGTTTGCCTGGACTAGGAGCTTCTCTGTGCAGGGACCCTGGTCCAAAGAACGCGCTCTGCTTCCGGCACTGCTTTCTTGATGGTATGAAGTCCTCCATTCTCTGCTTGCTTTCTTTTCCTTTTATCTCTTGTAAGGTAAAAGGTGGTGCAGGCGACACCCCATGGAAACTCCCTTTACATTGGATCAGGGATGTGACCTGGGTAAGGGTGGTGTTACAATCCCACCCTAATCCTCTTTAACATAAAATTACAATCACAAAATGGAGCCCAACCACACAATTCTGGGAATCACGGCCCAGACAAATTGATACACACATTTTTTGGGGGACATAATTCAAACCATGACAAAAGGTATTTGCATTGAAGAAGTCATTCGTCTTGCAAAATTCTATCAGTGGATCTCTGGTGTCATTTCTGTCAACAAGGCTATTATTTCCAACTTTTGCTTCCCAATCACCAGTAATTATCAATATATCTTGATTGCATGTTTGATCAATTTCAGGTGGTAGAAGTTGGTAAAAATCTTCAATTTCTCTATCTTTGGCATTAGTAGTTGGTGGGTAAATTTGAATTTACAGATAGTAGGCCCTCTAAATATTTATGGAATTGAATTATATTAGGGTTGCCACATAAAATATAGGACACTTTTACATAAATATGTCTCATGCAAAATTTGGGGCATACTTACATAAGAAAAGAAAGGTATTTATTATTTATTTATAAATTCCCATTCAATTGGTTTTCATGGTTTTGTTTGTTTGTTTTTTCTAAATTTGCCAACCCTATTAATATGGATAGAGATTGCCCCATTACAAGCCACTTAGCATTGGTTGTCCTCAGGTCTTCTTGACACATGTAAATAACTGATTAAATTCTTTCTTATTTTAATAGAAGGAAGGCAGTTAATTCAGAAAGAATCTGCCATTCCTAAAACCCTGACAAATGAAGTTACTTCTCCTCTTTTCCTACCCTGCAAAGGTCAGACCTGGATGGGTCTCTTGCAGGCCAGCACTGCCGCTGACCTACTTCTCAGTCAGTCAGCCGGTGCAGATCATTTACCTGGCATGGCCGCACCTGGCATATTGAGTACTTATCACACTTGCAAATTGTACGTATCTTAAAATCAAAAGAGCACAGTGATTTGGGGGGGGAAAATGTTTCCCACTAAAATTATGACTTATCACTGTTAACTATTTCTGTGTAACAGGGAAAGTGCCATGACATTTCTTTCCCCTTTAACACAGTAAAAAACAAACAAAAAAACTGTTAATCAATGATTGTGACAGGATTTTGAAACACCATTTTTAAAGTCCTGTTAGAATCCTAAATAAGCAATCTTTAGCTGTGAACAAGATCCTGAAAAGGCGTTAGCACTCCATGTCCAGTAGATGGCAGAAGCAGCCCCAAAGATCATGTTCAGGTAGATTCCACACCAAACTGTCAAGGATGTGACTCTGAACTTGCACTTCAATGTAAAAAGAATACCATTAATAACTTGATTAATACTAACATTAAATAATTGACAAAATGGTGCTAAACAAAAATAATATTTGCTTTTTAGCAGCAATTAAATTTATAAGGGGAGCTTATTACAGGGAGATTTTACCGAGTCTAGTGCGTCACAAAAGGCCTTCCTCAGGATGATACTATTTCTGAGTCGGTGTTAGTCAGTTAAGAGAGGGATAGCAGGGGGGAAAAAAGAAAGTTGTTCTAGGCAGAGGAAACAGACTACAGTGTAGTGCTCCCGCAAAGAACCAGAAAAGGTACACCAAAGTGTAGTGGGACAGGGGAAGAGTGCCTTGCAAAAAATCTGGAGAGGTAGGCAGGAGTCAACTCATGCAATATCATGCAGATCATACATATTTATATGGATTTTATCCTATAGCCAATGGGAAGCCATTGAAGGGTTTTAAGAATGTATGATCAGATTTGTTTTTAAAAGATTGTTTTTAGCAAAAATTCATTCTTCCAATGCTATGGAAAAATCATTCTGGCAATAAAGGGGAGCAAAACTGGATTCAAGGATTCCAATAAAAAAATTAAAAAAACCATTGCCGTCGAGTGGATTCCAACTCATAGCGACCCTATAGGACAGAGTAGAGCTGCCCCAAAGGGTTTCCAAGGAGCGGCTGGTGGATTTGAACTGCCAACTTTTTGGTTAGCAGCTGATCACTTAACCACTATGCCACCAGGGCTCCAATATCAAGGTAAAAAACAGGTGAGAGATACTGATGGCTAGGATGGTAAGGGAGAGGAAGTTAAGAATGACTTCCCTAACTTTAACATCTGGTTGTACTTGGTGCTGGTAACTGAAGAGAAACCCAGAAGCAGCAGGCTTTTGGAAGCAGAAAGGTAAGTTCTATTTTAAACATGTAGAGTTTAAAATGCCTGGGAGATGTCCAAATGGAAATATTAAGTTGTTGGTATAGGAGTCTAACTCCAGTGAGGAATGTGAAAAGTAAATGAATGAGTTTGCCCAGAGAGAATGAGTAGATGGAGAAGAGGGCTGAGGATGGAACCAAGAAAAATGCCAATTAGGTAAGGAAAATTTAATCACAAAGGAGGCTGACAACCAGAAGAAACTGAGTATTTTACATTGACTTAAAAATGTTTGTAGTGTTTAATTCTACTGAGTATCATAAGGGATTCAAGTATAACATTAAAATTTAAGCAGATTTGTCATCCATTTGACTAACGTTCACTTTCATTTTTTTACCCATTTGAGCAACATTCAGCAACAACAAAGCAGCTGCTGAGTTAATGGCAAGCGGACAATAAGGTAAAAAGGCAGACCAGAGGAACACTAGGAAGCCCTATTCGTTGACACTGTAAACAATAAGATATAGTTGTGTAATGCTAGGAAAAGAGCCAGAGCAGATAAAGGAACAACTATGAGAGTAGTAATCACATCAACCTGTCTCCAAGTCTTTATCTTCCAGAGCCCCCATTTCACTTTATGTGCAACCTTGAGCAGGTTTTATTTAAGCTTCAGTTTCCTAATCTATAAAATAATACTAGTACCTACCTTAATGGACTGTTGTAAAGATTCATTTAAACAATACAGTGCTCATTAATGGTGGACATACTTGTTCTCAGTGGTAGTTTTGTTGTAGCTTATACTATACTCTGTCGAGCTAATGAATACCAGCCGGAGGTGTGGCCCCAAATATATCTCCACCTCTCAGATGAAGGAATTGAGCAGAACTATTATGAAATCCTCAAGGGCATTTGCCTTTTAACTTAGGTCTAAGTTAGGGGCAAGTAGCTTCCTTCTGAGCCTTAAGATCTCAACACAAATGAGGCAGCAAAAGTGTAGAAAAAGTTTTCTCCCTAAGGCACCCATTCTGCTCTCTTAACTCCGTTTCATCCTGATGGCCTTCTAGTCCTCAGAGTTGAGGTCAGCCCCAGACTAGTCCATGTCTTCTCATAATTAGCACATTAGAGAATGGATTACAGAGCACAGTCATAGAGATTCAATCTTGCACAAGAGATTCAGAAACAGAACATTTTTGCCCTTCAGTCCTACTTACAATTCTTTTACTCCTGTCATTAAGAGCACCACCTCCTATAGTGGGCCTGCTGTATCCTCAGGGTCTCTATTCTAAACTTGTCCCAAAAAATTTGCTTCCAAATACAACAGCGGGAAAAATGGGCCATAAAGAATGGGTAAAATTTTGATTAAAGAGAACGTTAGGGAGAACTTGGCCTCAGCAAGGATACAGTAATAGGGACAAAGAGCTTGTGGGATTCAGAAATAACTAAAGTTATATATATCTTATTAATTTTGTGTGGCTTTAATAGGTTTTCAAATTGTCAAGCAATTAGAGCTCCAGTAATAAGACACAAGGACCAAATATTAATATCTGTGACTACGATCACTTGCAAGAATTTCAAAACCAAAGTTTCAATGGTTTATGCTCTAAGGATGGTTGGTTGAGCAGTATCTTCAGTGCACTTTTATCTCTGATTGCTTTTACAAATACTTATGGAAAGCTTAGGGGGAAAACTCCAGCACCTCAAGAGAAGATGGCTTATCCATACCCTTCCACCATTACCATAATTCTTCTAATAACAAAGTAAGAAAACAGACATTGAGATTAAACAGGCAAGTTTTATTATCAAATGTAAGAATTCTACAAAAACTCAGTAGTATTGTAGTATCACTATCAAAGCTTTGGGAAGACAGCAGTTTAAGGCATCAAGTACAAAGAATTTCTGATCTTAAGTGCCAGTTTTCACAAAAAAAATTTTTTTAAATAATTTTTTTGTTTTTCTTTTTTTCCTTACTGAAGTTAAAGGGCCATTGCTGGTCAGCTGAAGAGGGAAATGTTTGGCTCTCCATTCAAGGTGTTAAAGGAACGCAAACTAAATAAAAATAGCGGCCACATAAATCTGCATGGCATTGCATCCAAGCAAAGGACAGTGGAGTAACTTAAAGAAATATGTGCACTTAGTTAATCAAATCCTGTTTTACCCTTTGGAGTCACATGAGGCAGCAGTACTAGCTAGCTGGTGTCTAATATTGCACTTTTGTAGCCTAAACACATAGTGCTGAACACTGACAGCATCAGTAGCTGCTCACAGACTGCATCAGTGTTTACCTCTCAGTCTAGCATGCTGACTATAATCCTATGCTTTTAAGTTTTAATTATTTGACAGTTAAGGTAATAGAGAAAAAGTTTCAGGCTATCTTAATATATACAAGCATTCACTTCAGTTAGTATATTGCCTTCTAGAATAGTCTCATTTCTGTGACATTAAAAACTATGTAATTTCTCTTATTAAAGTCCAAACCATCAATAATGAAAAAAGTACAATATAAAATAAAATAATATATATGAAGCCACAATATTCAGTTACAGTTCAAACTAGAAATTACTAACTACATGTAGCTGCTTCATTTTTGGTTTTGCATTTTGGCCCCTAGTTCATTCTTACAACTGGTAACCTGCTGAAAAAGAGATCCAACTTTTAACTATGTATGCTTTGTGTAGGGTACACCATTTCTTCTAAGTAATCCTATGGTGTTTTAAAAGCGGTTTTAATTGGTTTTTTACTGTAAGACATTATGATGGCCAACAGACAGAATATTAAAGTTTTATTTCTTTTCATAAATTTGTGATTTAAGTATTCCAAGACCTTATTCTTGAATTACTTATTGAGCAAGGGGGCATGATTGTGCAGAAGACAAGATGATGGAGAGAAAAGAGTGAGAATACACAAAAATAAACCTTCCTTGACAGTTCATGATGGAGCTTGGCAGGCTCTAGTGGAGTTTTTTTTTTTTTTTTCAAAATACCTAAAACTTAGGAAACACCTATGACGACACTTTAGCTGGAAGTAATGGAGCCATCTGATTTCAAATTCACATTTTAAATGCCTATTTGCAATCAGCAAGGAGCCAGGTATGCTGCTTCCTAAAAGGATTTGGCTTCATTGGCTCAAATTTTTCACTCCATCAAAAGGTAGGGCACAGGCCCCCTTGTCCAATCATTTTTGCTGAAAATACTGCAGCCTGAGTGTAGACAAACTTCCCCTGAAGTTGCTAGTTTTCTTGTGTCTTGATGGTATCAGGATCACCATACATCTTTCAAACACTGAAAAAAATGAATAAAAGGAAGTCTTAGCAGCCACAAAAATGGTTTAGAATTCCAATAAGGACTTAAAAAAAAAAAAGTACAAATTTTTATTTCACACATACCAAGTTGGCATTTACACGGCAAATTATTGGGAAATCACAGCGTTGGCAAAGGAAGTTTACTGATCGTCGGCATTTTCCACAACTCCCTACCCTTTGTAGTCTTGTGTATGTAATGACATGTATGTTTTTACCTCCCCACTTGGCTCAGCTCCTTTGTGGACAGACTGTATTCATTCCTTAGTCTGGGTTCCCAAGTTATCACAGCATTCTTCTAATAGTAAAAGTTCAGTACCATTATTAAAGTAAAGACCATTAAGACAAAATTTTACAATTGAATTTTAGTAGAAATATCATATAATAATTTCTACCACCCTTTAAAAAAAAAACCACATTTGAGTCAATAAGAAGCACTGAGGCATGAAACAATAACATTTGACCACTACCATGTCAGTGACTGGTTCTAAGCACCTTATGTGGATTAATTTATTTTGTACTCACAACCACCCTATTTAGATGACCATATTATCCCCATTTTACAGATAGGGAAACTGAGGCACAGAGTGTTTTGTTTTTTTTAAAGCGAGTAATTGGTAGATCCGGGATTTGAACTACGGCAGGTTCATTCCACTATGCTATTTGACTTAGACGCAACACAAAAACTTTAAAATGAAACTTTTAACTAGACATCATGCATACTTCCACATATGAAAAATAGGAGAGAGAGGAGGTGAGGAACCTCCTAAAAGAGAGCTGTAACACAGTTCAAGGACTGTAACACTGAAGACAGTGAATGGTCTGGAAGGGCCTGCAGCAGAGTCAATGGTGATGTGATGGCAGAAACCTAATGCTAAGAATGCAGCTAAAGAGCTGAATAAAGCTGCTACGTTGGCTATGAGCTGCATCGGTCAGCAGCGGAGAGGCCTATGGCAGGGAGGCCTGCATGGCCGAGAGAAGCTGAGAGGGCAGTCCTGTGCTGAAGAAGGGAGGGGTGTGCTCTCTACTTCGGGTGAGACTTCTAGATTTTGCCTACATACTTCCCAATCCTGATCCAGAGTTGTAGCCTGTTACTTCCTTAATAAACCACGTAACTAGTAAGTATGGTCTGTGAGTTCTGTGTGACCACTGCAACAAACTATCAAAACCAGCAGAGAAGTAAAGAGTGCCATGGGGAGGATGGCTGGTGTCAAAATTGGTTAAACAGTTGGAGAGTGGAGGTATCTCTGATCTCTACCACATATGAATCAGCTTTATGCTGATCCTGGTTCTCATCCCTAAGGAATCTAGACAAGTTCTGATGCTCCTAGATTATAGTACCTTATGGAGAGAGGTTGGCTGAGAGTGAAGCCAACACACTGATTGAGCCCGTGAGTCCAGCCAAACCAGTCAGCCCTGGGTCTGTCAGTTATCAGTCAATGAATTCCACTTGCCACATTCCCAGTCAATTATAATTATTATTCTACTAGGAACCATCACCACGGAAGATACCAAAAATTATACCTTCATATTCTGTTAAAATGTGGAAAAGACCAGAAAAGATTAACCTTTTCAGATTTTTTTTTTTTTTTTTTTAAATCCCATGGAATTTTAGGGTGTAGCACTGAAACCGCAGGCTCTTAGCTGCTAGCAAAAAAATCTCAAAAGGGTAAAATGTTTCTTCTCCTTTAGCTGCGGAAAAGAAAACTAATATGCAAAGACACTTTTGAAAGTTAAGAATTGCAAACATTCACAAAAGTTTTATCTGACTTTCCAGTAAGATCTATCTTATTTTGCATTAAAACTGTCACTCAGCCTATTGCCATAGAGTCGATTCCCACTCATAGTGATCCTACAGGACAGAGTAGAACTGCTCCATAGAGTTTCCAAGGAGCGGTGGATGCGAACTGCTTATCTTTTGGTTAGCAGCCAAGCTCTTAACTACTGCACCACCAGGGCTCCAAAACTGTCACTAAAAGTGTTATATGTACAAAGGAATCTTTTAAGATGTCTGGATTTCACCAATTAGTGCACTGTCCTGCGAATGAAACCTTTAGCCCCTTAAAAAGCCTGCAGTTCTGATTAGTGGTCTTAATATTTTATTTTCTTATAATAATTTTGACATCACTTTTCTGAAAAGTATAAGTCAGAGAGAAAACAGCTTCTTCTCCCTTATATATAATAGATAAAATGAAATCTGTAACTCATTCTTTAATTAAAGCAAGTTTGATAGTCTTTTTCTCATTTAAATCAATAGACTCTTTAGCTATTCTTACCTACTATTATAAATACTACTTAGAAAGGAAGAGAGAGATAAGAGACAGAGAGAGAGAGAGAAAGAAAAAGCTTAATTTTGAGAGCTGTTTATTTCTTGTCCAAAAGATACCTATTAAAAGAATTTTTTTGGTCAGAAACTAAAGTACTAGTCACTGAATTGAACCAAAATAAGAAATCATATTACAAAACCAGAGATTATTTTCAATCCACGTAGAATTCCAGTCTTTCCAGTTAAGAGTCCAGGTTTCTGTATAAAACAATACTCTCTAAATGTCAGACTTAATACATTACACGAGCCTCCAGAAATATCCAAAATAGGCACTAGAAATATGAGACTTAAAGAGCTTACAGTAAGTGGGAAAAAAATCTCTTTAGCTACCTCTAGAGGCATTTCTTCCAGTCAGACATCAATCTTTTTCCTTGGAGGATGCTTTGGGACACCTCAAGGACTTGTCAGATGTCCTTGGGGTCTTTTATGACAAAAAGAGGCGTATCTACAGTGGTTTCTTAGGGATAGTCAATAGCATCATTTGGGTTGATGGGATCAAGTCTACGAGAAGACAGAACAGTGTGATTGTTCTTACCACACCTTGTCATGGACTCTGGCTACATCATCTGATCCTTTAACCAGTAGCAAGATTACCTTTTCATTCAACAAATGTTTTTAGAGCACTTGCTCTGCCATGTTCTTATTGGGTCCATGGGCAAGAGGGCTAAGACTGAAGCCGGAAGTCTTGGGTCTCCCCCCACCCCACCCCACCCCCGCCGTAGTTTTATTATTCATACATGCATCTCTACAGAATAAAAATAAATTTGCCTATTTTTAACTTTATGTAAATAGAATGATAAGTAGGCATTATCACTTCTTTCACTTATATTTGAAAAATTCATGTTATGAGTAGATATAATTCATCCATTTGAACTGCTACATAATATCCCATTGTAAAAATATGTCTCATATTTATCCATCTAATTACTGATACTCAACTATTGCTGGATATCTTTTCCATTAAAAAAATTACAAACAATAATACTATGCGTATTCTTGTTAATGGCTTTCTGTAGGGATATCTAGGAATTAAATTTAGACATTTATTGTCTCATATTCAGCAGGAAAAAAAATGTTTAAACTTTAAACACTGTATAGTTGTTGTTGTTGACAACAACTCATGGCAACCCCATGTGTGCAGAGTAGAACTGCTCCACAGGGTTTTCAAGGCTGTGACCTTTTTGAAGCAGACCAGGTCTTTCTTCTAAGGAGTCTCTGGGTGGGTTAGAACCACCAACATTTTAGGTTAATAGTTGAGTGCTTAGCCTTTTGTGCCACCCAGGGACCTCACTTTACAGCTAAGCACCATGAAATGTATTAAAGTTTGTTTGAGCTTGGGTCTTCAGTGAACAATCTAATAAATACTTTGAAAGTCCCGATGGTTATCTTTTCAGAAATGAATCAATTGAAGGTCCTATGAATTGGCATGGAAGAGGCCTGTTTATTTGACTAACATGGACATTATGCTTGTCCTGCCTGAAAGAGCAGGAAGGTTTTTATTCTATTTATTTATTTCCTGTTTTTACTGTGATTCCTGAATACATGGTACTCTGCTTACAATAGCCACACCCCAGACTCTTCTGATGGGCATGTGTTCAATTTTAATAGATAATTCCAAACTATTTTAAAAAAGTTGTATTGACTTACACTCTCCTCAGTTGTGTGTAAGACTTCCTGTTGGTTTATATTCTAATAAGCCACTGGTACTGTCAAATTTTTTAATTTGTGCCTTTCTGGTTGGTATATAGTTTTTATTTGTATTTCCCTGATTACTAATAAGATAACTACCATTAGCCAAATGGATTTCCTCTTTTGTGAATACCTGTTCAACTGTTCTATCTTCTTTTATAGAATTATCTTTTTATCATTAATTGTAGGAGGTCCTGGGTCTTTTTGTCAGTTTGATCATTAACTGTAAGACTTTGTGGAATTTGCCTAACCTCTTTTGGTTTCATTTCCTCATCTGTCAAATGGAGTCATGTTAACCTGCCCTGACACTTCACAGGGCTGCTGTAAACACTCAAATGAGACTGTGGATATAACAGTGCTTTTAAGAACATAAGCCACTCTACTGGTATAAAAGATAACTGGTGGTGATGAATTTGATATTGGTATGAGAAGTAAAGGAGAGGAGAAGACAGAGAAGAAGGAAAAGGAAGCTAAAGGGGAGGAAATAGAAGGGGAAGAAAAGAGGAAGACAGCAGGCAGGGAGGTGGAAGGGAGATGAAGAGAAAAGGAAGGGAGAAAGGGAAGGATGAAGTAGAGGTGGAGAAGAAGAAAGCAGGAGGGAGGGAAGGAAAGAGAACAGAGATCTTTGAAATCAGCCTCCTGGGGGTTAGAGGATGGCATGAACTGCCTGATGAATACACTGCAGAGTCACTTGAGTTTGATGTTTTAGTGAATGCAAACTAGGAAAGTGTTGGAGGAGGGGGCATGAAAAAAAAAAGAAACAAATCACTCTGCTCTTGCCTGCACCCCCTGATCGTTCCTGCCTTTTTTCACAATTATTTTGCTTTCTTTGTGGAGTTTCCAGAGGTTTAAAAAGTATTTGTGCATTTAAAATAATGCCCCTTTTAATTCCCCACCATCATTACCTAGGAAGTGTAAATAAGAAAAAAAGCAATTTTCCGAGTACAGACATCCACTGTACAAATTCATCATGTCACAAGGTTAAAACAAAAACAAAACCCTTAAAGATGCAACGTACTCCATAAATCATTGTCAAGGTTCATTAAAGAGTCATTTAAAAGTCATCAAAAACACTCAGTGCTCCATTTTTCAAAAAGGAATATATTCTTAAGAATTACAGGTGTGAACGTGATGTCAATTCTAACAATCAAACTGATTATCATTAAGTAATAGATTAGATGGTTCCTGGAAAAGGGAGAAATTATAGGTAGAAGACAGCAGGGAAATCAATAACACACATGTTCTTTACAATCATAAAAAGTAACGAAGGGAAAAAAACTCAAAG